TGCTCAGTTTCATCTTCAGGCTATGTTTTTGGAATTGACTCGGCACCAGCTCCAGTCTTTTGAGATTCTCCTCCACTGTAGAGGCAAACACCACAACATAATCCATGTAAAGAAGCAAAGACTGGGAAACTTTCATCACTGAATGTACTCTCCATCAGACTCTGGCTTTCAAATAATCCAAAAGGAGTACAAAAATAAGTCTTTCTCTGCCACCTCCACCTGGTTGTAGCCACTCAGGTCCAGGGTGGGGAACCAGCAGGCACCACTCAATGCATCCAGAATTCTTCCATTCTTGGGAGTGGGTAAGCATCTCGTCTCGTTGTAGCATTCAGTCTCCTGTAATCCACCCTCATCCTTATTGAGCCATCCTTCTTCATAACAATGACTATAGGTGAGGAATACGGGCTGCAACTCTCCCTGATAATCTTCTGCTCTAACAGCAGTTTGATGTAAGCCTTGACCTCCTTATACTGACTTAGTGGCAAACGCCTGTACCTCTGACATACTGGAACATCATCTATGAGAGGAATCTCATGTTCTCTCAGGTCAGTGTATCCTACATCTCCATCCCCTTAAGCAAAAACATCAGAGTACTTATGCAATAAACCCCTTGAGTCAATCCTGAGATCCTGACTCAATTTGGGAAACTGTAGATATTTCACCTGTTGTGAAATGGATGGTTTCTCTGGTTTTGAACACACCTTAATATGTTATATGAATACAGTAGACCTACTCTCATCAGGAATATCTGTAAACGTAAACTCTGTTTCTGAACGGCTAAACACCACCTCTGCTGACTGGGTGGAGGCTAAACGCATACCTGGTTCCAGATACACATTCTCTACCTCCACATTCATAACTGCCGTCATTAACTGGCCTGTTTCTTGAGCTACAAAAGCGCTGGCGATTAAGATACCCGCTGGTAAGTCACCTTCCTCTCCTGTCAAATGATCTAACAGCACTGGTACCACTGGGCTCAGCCCAACCTGGCAGCCTGTGGCTGAGACCAACTTCATAGTGCCTGCTGGGATTAAAAGGCGTGTAGAGGAGATAAGATTTACAAACCTGTTGTCCTGTTTGTCCTGCGCTCGACATACCTCTAAGGCCTGCTTAAATGTGGCTTCACACTGTTGTACCATAGGTTTCTGGCAGTATTGTGGACCATGATGCTGCTTGAGAATGCTGTAACAATTTTGAATGACATTCATTCCCACTAGTCCTGGAACCTCCCCTTTTCTCTCCCTGGTATCTGTGTCCATGGAGTCCTTGACCACTAGAATTCCCAGTTTTTAAAGGGTTTTACCCATTACCACTACATCCAACTCTAGGTAGCCTACATAAGGGATGTCTAGACCATTTGCTGCTTTTAGCACAAGCCAACGACAATCTTGCAGCAGACCTACACCTTGAGCTTCAAACATCTCTTTAAAGAAACTCTCTGTGATCGTGCACTCCATGGAACCTGTATCAATCAAACAGTTTGTCTCTACACCTCCTATTAACAGCTTCATCACAGGGCAATGACCGACTACTCGTGGGAATGCTTCACCTTGTGGTTTATTAGCTGAAGATCCCTCCCCCACATTTGGTTTTCCACAACCGACACGTGGCCCTCGGCCAAGCTGGCATGGTTTGCCTGCTGCCCCCTTGCTAGGTTGGGGTTCACATTCTGGTTACAAGACATTATCATTTGAAACAAATTGGTTTGGCAAATGAGTCATAAACTGGGGTTTTCCTCCCCCTTCTAGGCTGAGAACCCTGAGGACCTTGTAGGTTAGCCACTGCATCCACAAGTGTTTTATGTTGAGTTTGCTGAGTTTAAACAGTTTCAAGTAGCTGCACTAGTACTGGGTATGTCTGACTCTTAACCAATGTGGCTTCACAATCAACTGGATCCTGCGCCTCACGATAAGATTTAGGTTTTCCCTTAGAAGTTCCCTCGTCAGCCCAGTGAAGGGGCTGTACATCTAGAAAAGATGGGTTTGGGCTTTGTCTAATCATTTTCTTTAGGTCTCTACATAATGCTTTATCTTTTACATTTTCAGTAAATACATTTCTGAGTGTCTTTTCCTCATCTTGAAAGGCCTTGGGATCGCAGTGGCTAACCTCTTCAAACAGACTCCCCTCTTCTAAAAACCTTCTCCAGCACCTCCAAGATACTGTCTTAGAACGAATACTAGAAGGTCTGTATTTTATCTCTTGTTTAGCTCGCCCTTCCAAATAAAAATAAACTGCCGCACATGGATCCAGAGAAGTTGGCAGACGTATTTGTTGAAAAGGCACAGTACTATTTCATGATCTACATAACAAAGAAAAAACGCACACAAAAAACTCATTCAGTTAAAGGAGAAATTAGGGTTAAGCGCCTTGCTCAAGTGCACATAGACAGATTTTTCACATAGTCGACTAAGTGATTCAAACCAGCAACCTTTTGGTTACTGGCCCAACGCTCTTAACCACTAGGCTACCTGCCGCCCTCAACCCAGTTGTCGATAGCCTATGCATCTAATCTCCTCTAACATTCCTAGACATATGAGATATTTATGTCACAACTCAGCAATTTCTTATCATGTATTAGAACATCCCAGTTTTTACTGCATACGCCACACCCCATGCTGGTAAAAGGGTGTAACAGAAATGAAATATCTATGCAATACATTCAATTAGTGTTACACAACAGAGTCAGAGAGCACTCTATTGTATTTGGGATCTCTTGTTATTATTGTGAGGTCTACACTGTATGGCTTTCATCAGCATGGATCTATACATGAGAAAACAAATTAAGAAGATAGACAGTGATTCAACTGGACAATCAGCAAAATGCATCTTTATCAAACTGTCTGTGTTTGTCATTAAGTGCATCTCAGCTGCTGAAGGTCTGCTACACTCCTGCCTAACCTTTGATCCAATCAGGTAGAACATCTCGACCACATTGAGGAGCAAAGAGACACAAACCATTACATGCATGAGGATGATAAAGATAGCCTTCTCAGTGTGCCGTGATATGAATCACTCCACACGGTCTCCCTTACATGGGTATCCAGCGTATTTAATATTTTTGGGCAACACAAAGCCATACAGGTAATACTGACCCACTATGAATCCAACCTCAAATAGAATCTTAAAAAACACATTGGACATGTTACTGACAAGCAAGGTCCCCTTTATGTGAACTTTCCCCTTGTCATTAGAGTATTTCAGGGTGATTTCACAATTCCATTATTTCCTTTTGATTGTTGGTGTCTTAGTTTGTTCTCCATGCGGATGACGTGCAGGACGCGAGCCAGGTAGACCCGAGTTGTGGTGGAGATGAAGATGATCTGAAGGACCATGAAGCAGATGTGGGAGATGGGGAAAGCCCGGTCTTAGCACAAACTCTTACAGCCCGGTGAAAGTGTTTTACAGACCAGATAGGATTGTTCATCTCCCCATACTTTGTCGATCCCTGCCACCAGCACCAGCAGTCTAAACACAAACAGGACCTTCAGTCAAACATTCCCAACAACCATAGAGTGGGATTGTACTTTGTCTAACAGGGAGGCAAGAAAGGACCAGTCCCCCATGATTCAAGTGTGGCTAAATGGTCAAAGAGAAGATAAAAAAAGAAAACATGATAATAATGGTGTTATTACACAGGTAAGAAAAGTAGTCAGCCAATGTTCTATGTAAAAGAAATTGCTGCAGCGTAAGCTAAAGGATACAGTACTTGCTGAATATAACTGTTAAATATACCAAAGCAGCTTTCTTACCTCAGAGGTGAGCACAGTCTCCTCACACCAGTTATTTTCTACTGAATTCTCTCTTGATTAATTGGATTCTCTCCTCTTACAGCTTGTATCATTATGATGTCAACACCGTCCACCCCCATACTCGCTGACACCCTGCACGACTTTCATTCCTCTTCACAAATGTTTAAACCAAGGAAGGCGGAACTCATGATCTTCCTCAGAACTGCTAATTCAACCAAATATTTCATAATTGGTCAGTCAACACCCAATGCCTCATCCCTGTGAAGTAATCAAATGTAAATGCAAAAGGTAATGGTCGATTCACGGATGTTATCAAACACGATCCATGGTATTTGGTACCTACCTACTGTATAGCGAGTAGGCAACTGTACTGTACATAAAAACTGAACCACCGCATTTCACAGATTCTTCGCTATGTTTGCGTTGATCTTTCCTTTTTGACTTTTCAAAGATGCCTAACATCAACAGATGTGTTTTCTCATGGAGGAGCTCAGCTGTGTACAATCATTTCAAGTACTGACACAAACATTCAGATAAGACAAACATCCGGTAAGAATCACTCACTTTCTGCAGACAATACAGTCAGAGAGGGTTTAATAACTCCACAGTGTGTTTGGATCTCACATGTTTAGATCTTCTTTGTGCTGACGTTAACATGAGGTGAGGGTAAAGTGTCAAAGTTCATCCACTTTTCGAGGAAGAGAGACATCTTCGTGAAGTGATAAAATTGTTGCATGGATCAAATTCATAGGTAAAGTCTGATTGGTGTAGAAGTGTGACCACAAGCACGCAGTATGACTGTGAGTCAGGCTGACCAAACCCATCAGGTTTATAAGAATGGCCTACCATTAAAGTCTTTCAATATCCTCATCCCATGTGCACAAACATTAATGCTCGCCTCCGGCTTGTAGATGAAAAGGAATTTCTCATCTGAGCAACAAAAATGGTGAGTAAATTGCAAATCTGGTTATGTTTGTACAAATTGAGGATAATACAGTATCTCATGTAAATGTAGATATCAATAGAAATATACAGTATATATCATAGATTTGGATTAGAAATGGTTTTAACTTAATTTAAAAATAGTGCTGTGAAACAAATGTACTTCTCCAGTCTGTTTGACAGCTCACTAGGCTACTATCAAAGTTAACGTATAATCTTGGTATGATTACACTATTTCTCTATGAAGGGATTCCTGAATGAAATTTAATTTCACTTCTCCTTTTCTTATTCCATAGATAATCAGCCGCAATGGGGGACTGGTCATATCTTTCTAAGTTACTGGACAAGGTGCAGTCCCACTCAACGCCCATTGGGAAGATATGGATGAGTGTCCTGTTTATCTTCAGGATTATGGTTCTGGGTGCTGCAGCAGACAGTGTGTGGGGCGACAAACAGTCTGATTTCTACTGCAACAACGAAGAACCTGGGTGTGAGAATGTGTGCAATGACTGGGCCTTCCCCATCTCACACATCCGTTTCTGGGTCATGCAGATCATATTAGTCTCCACTCCAACTCTTCTGTACCTGGGCCATGCCATGCATGTCATCCACCAGGAGGTCAAGATGAGGGAGGCACTGCAGAGCCAAGTTGACAATGGCATGTTGAAGAGGCCCAAATACACAGATGATCAAGGGAATACTGCTGCGTAGCTACATGACCCAGTTGCTCTTTAAGATAGTGTTAGACCTCACTTTTATTGTGGGACAGTACTACTTATACGGGTTTGTCATGAAATCCTTCTTCCAATGTTAACAAGAGCCCTGTTCCAAACTTGTCCCGTCCTACGGAGAAGACCATTTTCATAATCTTCATGCTTGTTGTGGCCTGTGTGTCTCTGCTTTTGAATGTGATCGAGGTGTTTTATTTGATTTGCACCAGAGCAAAATGTGGAGCCAAGAAACAGTACCCACTGCATTTTAACTCAGCTGAGAACCCAGCCACCCTCTACAATCCAGCATCAGCATGGCAAGGTAACCTGGATGAACATAAAGATCGCTCACCCACCCCTTCACAGAGTCCAGAGGGAAGCTGAACTGTTGGAGGAAGAGAAAAACACTTGTTAGGCTTCCAATAGATTTCACTTGATTATATTCTGCTCTGTGAGGTGACATACTGTCCCGAGTGGCGCAGTAGTCTAAGGCACTGCATCGCAGTGCTAGCTGTGCCACTAGAGATCCTGGTTTGAATCCAGGCTCTGCGAACGGGAGACCCATAGGGCGGCGCACAATTGGCCCAGCGTCGTCCAGGGTAGGGGAGGGAATGGCCGGCAGGGATGTAGCTCAGTTGGTGGAGCATGGTGTTTGCAACGCCAGGGTTGTGGGTTTGATTCCCACGGGGGGCCAGTATGAAAAAAATAATAATAATGTATGCACTAACTGTAAGTCGCTCTGGATAAGAGTGTCTGCTAAATGACTAAAATGTAATGTAATGGGTGGCCTACAAGTAATATAAAAAGTGTAAAGTTACATTCCAGTGTATTGAGTATGTGTTTGTTAAATAATTTGCATTAGCCTACCTTGTAACTGAATGTTGTTCATATTACAGTTTGTTTCTATGCTGACACTGCGATGACAAATGTTTGGCAGGCTTTGTATGCTCTGTTGAAAATAAAAAAGGACTGTGAAAGGAAATTAGAAAAACACCTCACAGCCGCACATTCCCAGACCATACACTAGATGGAAGCATAAACTTGGTGATTGAAATCATGTGAACAGCAGGGCTGATCTGCAGTATAGGCTATTGTCTTATCTATAGCTCTAGATCTATGTACATAAACACATGCAATAGAAGTTACCTTTGATGTCAAAGTTCCATATTATCAGTACAACAACAAATCGTTAGACTTCTTGATTAATTACTCTCATCTTGCTTAATGTTTGACACTTTTGGTCCGTGTCATTACCAGTGGTGTAAAGTACTTAAGTAAAACTACTTTAAAGTACTACTTAAGTAGTTTATTGGGGTATCTGTACTTTATTTTACTATTAATATTTTTGACAACTTTTACTTTTACTTCACTACATTCCTAAAGAAAATAATGTACTTTTTACTCCATACATTTCCCTGACACCCAAAAGTACTTGTTACATTTTGACAGGAAAAATGCTCCAATTCACACACTTATCAAGAGAACATCCCTGGTCATCCCTACTGCCTCTGATCTGGCAGACTCATTAAACACAAATGCTTAGTTTGTAAAATTGTGCCATCTGGTTTGTTTAACATAAGGAATTTGAAATGATTTATACTTTTACTTTTGATACTTAAGTACATTTGAGCAATTCCATTTACTTTTGATACTTAAGTATATTTAAAACTAAATACTTTTAGACTTTTACTCAATTAGTATTTTATTGGGTGACTTTCACTTTTACTTGAGTTATTTTCTATCAAGGTATTTTTACTTTTACTCAAGTATGACAATTGAGTACTTGTTCCACCACTGGTCATTACAGATAAGAAAAGGTGAATACATGATTATCAAACATGTTTAGCAACTATCTGTGGGCTTTGATCTACATGCGATGAATATTAATTATCTTAACCAATTAAAACATAGCCTACTCCACAACTAGGTTACTGGTTTACAGGTTTGCCCACAGGACCTAATACAGAACGCTTTAGTATAGGCTGTAGACTTGATCTTGGTAAAGTTTACAATTCATACTGCTCTGAAAAAGATGGTATTAATCTTTGTTATAAAAAAAAACACGTTCATTTTTCTATTACACAATTACATTTCAGTAGAAGAAAAGTACAGAAACCGAGCGCAAGGATGTCTAAGTCTTGACGTAGGGGTCAGGTGACTCCAAACTTTTCTCTCCATCGTTTATTTTTTTTCTCTCCCCCCAGCCCGTATGTGGACTGTTATAAGCAAGGAAAGTTTGACAAGTCAGTCTCAGTTTCTCCGTGGTCCCAAACTTGGATTTCAAGAAAGCGGTGACTGTTTTCAAGAAGTGACGGAGAAAGTCCTTAAGGGCTCTCTTCTGACTTCTCAATAACTTTCCAGGTAAGCTTTGCGCTATATCAACAGCCATTATTGACCTGAAGAAGTAAAAACTCGTATTTATATATATATTTATCACTGTCAGAAGTTATGCGGAGAAACCAATTTGCGCTCAGAATCCAGACACACTGTGCCAATCCAGAAGCATTGTATTTCTATAGGCTATCCGCTATAGTATGGTCCATAATACATCCTTTATAAAACGTTTTATTTTTTCTGGGTTTACCAAGGAAAAGTTTAAATGATCCATCTGTTTCTTTTGCTGTTTTATTTTTCCAATTTGGTGTGACTAGTGCTTTTAAGATAAACGAGTAATCTGAGGCAAATGACTCAAAGCAGCATGTGATGAATAATTATTACAAGATTTATAGAGGACTTTAACTGAACTGTTTATAAGTTGTGACCTGGGGATTGATTTGTTTTAAAACAAACTAAATCGTAACCAAGCATATTGATATGTTTCATTGATATGTATCTTTAGCTTTATAGAAATCCTTCATGAAATATGATCAAATTGGGCTACTCAGATTTTTAAAGGTCTTCCTTGCATCTGGAGAGCACAGTTTAAATCCTCTTCCAATGTAAAGAAATCTTGAAGTTGAGCTGATGTGCTTACAACCGTATAAATTGTGTGATTCACCCAACTTCTACTTTCATTGTTGTAATAACATCATTACAAGATCAGAGCTCTCAGGGGGATGATGGCATCAGTGGGTTTCTTACTCTAGATCAGCATTGTCTACAAATACGTTTTTTTTCTTCAAGTTTCCAAACGGTTCTGTGATATTAAATAGGCCTATAAATGACCCAGTGAAATTGATGCAACTATTTGTCAATGAATTTTATTTTAAAGGTTTTTATCATGGTACCATCATTGTTGAGTAAGAAGCAGTCCTTGGTTATTTTCCGCTATACTGCGGTCCTCTTGTACAGTAGCCTATGCAGTATATTATTAGCTAAGTGAAGCCATGCTGTTGGTACACCCTCCAACAGATGGCTTCTACTGATCCAAGTTTGTTTATTGTGCACTCATTGCAGGGACATTATTGGTTTACTGGCATTATTCAGAATCTTTATTCAGATGGTATTCATGTTTACAAACTTGATTCCCATATGACATGCAGTGTGAGTTTATTATCTGTGAGAATTGGGTCTTTGTAGCGGAGCTAGGCAGGTCACTAATAAGCCTACAATGAACAGGGGCCCTGTGTTGTAGACTCAGAGGCTCAGAGAGAGCGTGTTCCAGACACTCCCCAGTCTGAGGCTTGAACTGAGAGCAGAGAGCTACAGTATCGTGCCTTAGTGCGGTGTCCTTTACCTTCATAGGCTGTATAGGTAGAGTTTCTACCAGCTTTTGGGAATGATATTTACTGAGGATGATAGTTAATGAGGATAAAAATGATATATCTATTATGAAGATCGTATAGTTATTATCTCAGCGTCATGTGTTATGTGAAGAACAGTAACTGTGTCTAACACTGCATGACATTTCTTTGAGACTGGGGGGTATTTGCATAGCATTCCTTAAATTACACAGTACAATACAATTTAACATTGACAAATGCTTACATACACGCTATTTGACATCTTTTAATTTGGTCGGCATCTCTTATTTCTACGTTCTTTCATGTTTATTACAGTTGTTAACAAACAATGGTTTGATGAGGAACAGGTGCACGTTTTCATACCCAGCCGATGAAGGGGAAACAAATGTTTGCGCTTGTGTTTCACCAACCTGGACCCTATCATCTACCATTACACTATTCACTTACTCAGTATTTTAAGAAGTGCCATCAACACTGGTAGGACCACACAATGTGATTCTCCTCTCATCACTTTCAATAGGAAGACAATAGCCTTCAAATTCACTCTCTGGATTGAAGATTCATTAAGCATAATGCAAGGTAGTAGTTGACATTGGTCTTGTTCAGCCTTTTCCAGCAATTGCATTTGTTCTGTGCGTCACTACAGCCATCACACGATTCCTAGTCATTACACTTTTTCCTCAAACATTGAGATGTGTTTGATTCGATTCACAAATGTAACTTGAGATATAGTGATATATACTGTAAACATGTTTACTGTATATAGGAATGTTTAAAAAAAAAGTTATTGCATTTAATGAACACTTACAATATCTTCATTATTTTCTGTCTAATTGCAGCTAAAACTCCATCATGGGCGACTGGAGTGCTTTGGGGAGGCTCCTGGACAAGGTTCAGGCTTACTCCACGGCTGGAGGGAAGGTGTGGCTCTCTGTCCTCTTCATCTTCAGGATCCTGGTGCTGGGGACAGCTGTGGAGTCTGCCTGGGGGGACGAGCAGTCCGCCTTCAAGTGCAACACCCAGCAACCTGGTTGTGAGAACGTGTGTTACGACAAATCCTTTCCTATATCACATGTAAGGTTCTGGGTGCTACAGATTATCTTTGTCTCGACACCGACTCTTCTCTACCTTGCCCATGTCTTCTACCTGTTGAGAATAGAGCAGAAGATTAACCGCAAAGAGGAAGGGCTGAAAAACATCCAGAACGATGGAGGCGACGTGGACGTACCTCTGAAGAAGATTGAGTTAAAAAAGCTCAAGCATGGGCTGGAAGAGCATGGAAAGGTTAAGATGAAGGGAGCCCTCTTGAGAACCTACATCGTCAGCATTTTTTTCAAGTCCATCTTTGAGGTGGGCTTCCTGGTCATACAGTGGTACATTTATGGCTTCAGCTTGGCTGCTGTCTACACCTGTGAGAGGTCCCCCTGCCCCCACAGAGTGGATTGTTTCCTCTCCAGGCCCACTGAGAAAACCGTCTTCATTATCTTTATGCTGGTGGTCTCTCTGGTCTCCTTGGTTCTGAATGTTATTGAGCTATTCTACGTGACATTCAAGAGGATCAAAGACCGTGTGAAGGGGAAACAACCGCCCGTCCACTACCCTGGCACGGGGACATTAAGCCACACTCCCAAGGATCTGTCCACCACTAAGTATGCCTACTATAATGGCTGTTCCTCTCCCACTGCTCCCCTGTCCCCAATGTCACCCCCGGGGTACAAGCTGGCCACTGGGGAGAGAACCAACTCCGTTCGCAACTACAACAAGCAAGCCAACGAGCAAAACTGGGCCAACTACAGCACGGAGCAGAACCGCCTGGGCCATAATGGCAGCACCATCTCCAACTCCCATGCACAGGCCTTTGACTTCCCTGACGACACCCAGGAGAGTAAGAAACTGACCCCGGGGCACGAGCTGCAGCCGTTGGCCCTGATGGATCCCAGGCCCTGCAGTCGAGCCAGCAGTCGCATGAGCAGTCGGCCAAGGCCAGACGATCTAGATGTCTAGCCCCTCCCCAGCCCCCCCTGTCGGTGGCCTTGGTGCCAGAGAACAGAGAGTACAAGGGGGGCGGGGCATAGCCCATTCACTGTCTTAACTAGCGAGTCAATAAAGAGACATTAAAATACTTACACTGTTGGAGGTACTATACATTTATTGATGACTTTGAAAGTAGTGGCGCTAACAAGCTTTAACAACAAAAACAACTAGTGGGCGAAGAACATGTTACCCTGTTCTGATAACTGTGCCCACGTTTCACTTTAGAAGAATATGCCTTGGCAAAGTGTTAGTTATCATGTTTTTACCTGTAGGTTTCATTATATGGCCACACACAATGACATTCCATTTAGAAAGATTGCACTTCAATATAATAGCAATGTGTCTTTTTCCATGCTTTGCAAGTAGTTTGAAAACATTTGGCTTGTAAGTCTCCGTCACACTCATCTTCTGTATGACTTCCAAGTCTGTCTTGTAAAACAGGATTGTAAGAAGGATGCTAAGTTTCATGAATTAATATTTATTTATTAGTAAAAGTATGCAAGACATCCACCACTAGATACAAATGTACTACTATCCAAGGTCATATCCATATAAATGATATATTAAGTCACTACACCCAACTGCATATTTATTGATAATAATAAAAATTCAGCAATACAGTTTTCTCAACAAATAAGAGGTTGCTTTTATTATCGTGGACTGTCATTTCCTGATAAACTTTGAATTTATGTGGTGTTGGTTGTTTTATTTGATATTTGTGGGAAAGAGGTTTCTTTCAGATTGTGGACTCAAGCTGCTGTAAGAGAAATACAGAGCGACAGTTTTTATTGTTACATTTGGGTTTCGAAGCATCTTTGAAAGAAAGCATTTATTTTTTTCTCATTTTAAAGTGTACGTCTGCTTTTTATTTTCTTTCCTGTTGGATGGTAGAGGAGGGCAGTATAATGATTATTTGTGTTTTACCTTTGGAGTGACATTTTACTCAATGTAATCATTGCTGCTTGAGAGATAGATTTTAGTACTGTAAATCAAGCTAACTGTTTCACAAATGTGAGTTTTTAGAAGACTGCTTATAGAGCTGGACTAATATTTAGTCAAATATATTAAAAGTTATATGCCAATGTAGCTCCACAGCTACCAAACACTTTCAATTGGACATTTTCATGTTTTCTGTGTTTTTCTCTCTCCCAATTTTGCATCATAGTATTTCGGTACTTAAACAGAGAGTTTCATGGGTTATTCAGCTACAATGGTGTTTGCACTGAGATCTTGACTACGGTGTAATATGATGCAAAAAAGTGGCAAGTGTTTTCTGATATGCATGTTACTAATTTATTTTACAACACACCAGGCAGAAATCACTACAGTACATACATTCAGACAGTGCTTTTTTGTGACCGCTGGTTTCAATGATCTTGAAAGGCTAAAGCAAAGGGCCTCCATTCAGAGTACAAGACAAAGTTCGGTGTACATTTGTTTGATAATGTGGTCAGATAATGCCATTCCATGGAAATCCACTGTTGTACAGTGTGTAAGTGCATGATAGCAAGAATAAAAGCTCATTAATTATATATGTGAAAGGCTATTTTAACCAATAAAGATTTTTTCTTTCTTTACAAGTTTGTCATCATATGCACCTCATTTTGCCTTTCCTCTTCTTGATTCAGTCTGTGTCTTTAGTCCAGACTCATTGGGCCACCAGAAGTGCCTTAAAAATAGATCAATATTATGGTCAAAAGATACATTTGTCATGTGTTGAGACTACAGTATTGCCTTTCTTCTTTCATAGGTAACAACCCCCCCAAAAAGTATCATATATGATCCCCTGCTTGTGGATATTGAGAGAACAATAAGTGCTATATAGTATATGTAGTGAAAATGCCTTGGAGACTTTGAAAACTTCATAATATGAAAAGACTCAGCGCTTTTTCTGTTATCCAAGTTTCCTATTTAACCTTTCCACAAAGCTAAATAAAACCACATGTTTGGACCCAGTCTGTAGACCACGTGGCTGGAGCCAAACAAGAAAAGCTCTACTTTGATCCAATGCTAATTAATCTACATTTTTAATTTAACAATGAGTTTTTATTAGGGCTTTTAAACAAGATGACACTGGAAGACACAAAAACAGTTGAAACACACCATTTAAAAGAAAAATAGTTATTACATAACGTATTTACATAACAGTAGATAGCAATTAAGAACTGTGGCCAGAGTTTGAAAAGTAACAGAGCAGCAGTTTACTCAATTAAGATAAAGTTATCTTAAACGTGTTTCAACAATCTGTATTCTCTGTTTAAAAGCAAATACATTGCTGTTGAGTACTAATGGCAGAAACAGTACAAACGCAAAACTAAATTAGCAAAACTAAATCACAGCATTTTTACATTTCAAACAGTAGTCCTAGTACATTGTAAAGCATTCAGAAGGTGATGGAAAACAACTACAACTTCTGACTCTGATGCAGATACTAACCACATGGATACTTGATAAATGTCAAATAAAGTCCTGGGATTGTAACTGCACTTGGTGCAGTGTTCAGGTTAGAAAGACTACGTTTTACAGTGTTTATGCATGTTTCATTGCGTATTTTTAGACAACAAGGATTCAAATGAGGACAGCTTTACAGCACTTCAAGCTTTATTTTCTTCACAGACTACTGTAAACCTCAATGTCTGAGTTACATTTCCACCGCCTGTACAGCCGTTCAGACCACAAGGCCAGGGTGGTGCTACCAATACATGGTAAAGCTGCTAACCTTCACTAAAAATCATGACGTAATCCCAGAGCTAGTAGAAACGGCTGGTGCCTGGTGTAGACCTCACGTAATATTTCACGTCACAAAATAAGCTTTTAGAAGTTATTTATTCCTTTAATCATGTCAGTGGGGTAGAAAATAGTTTTATTAAGCATCTTTGACAGATTAGCCATTCCCTTGTCCTCTAAAGGAAAGACAGCTTGCAAAACTACAGATAAATGGGTAGCACAACACATCAAAATTGAGATAAACTATTTACTGTATATGGTAGATACAGTCAGGCCCATAATTATTGGCACCTTTTGATAAAGATGAGCAAAAAAGACTGTATACAATATATAATACAAATACTGAGCTATATTGCATATTGCAAGCAAAATAGTCCCATAACCTCAAAGATCCACCACCATTTTTTACCATAAGTATGAGGTACTTTTCTGCAAATGCTTCTGTTTTTCAAATCCACCACTTAGATCGGAACCAGTGTTATGATCAGATGACATGAAAATAGAGCTCTTTGGCCACACACACCAGTGGTGATTTGGCGTTGAAAAACAGACGCATATGCAGAAAAGTACCTCATACCTATGGTAAAATATGGTGGTGAATTTTTGATGTTGTGGGGCAATTTTGCTTCCAATGGTCATGGGGCCCTTGTTAAGGTCAAGGGCATCATTTACTTTTTTTTTTGCCAAAAACCTGGTTGCCTCTGCCAGGAGGTCATATCCATATAAAAAACCCAATCTTTTTAAGATTTTGTATGATTATTTGTTCAACAAAATCTCTTTCTCTGAGCAATTTTATTACTATAACATAATATAATTTCCCCATTTTCTTCTGCATACAATACAGCTCAGTATTTGTATAAAAACAAATTATACTGTATTTTTTGCTCCTCTTTATCAAGGGTGCCAATAATTATGGACCTGACTATATATCATTCATCTCTCTCTCTGCAAAGTGCATTCGTTTTTGAACTGGCCTATGGAGTCTATAGCCAGACCATTAGCACCACTACTTGGACCTAATTGCTGTATTGTTTTTTTTTTTTTTATTTTTTTACATGCCTTTCAGTTTCCCATGTCTTGTTAGGACAAAGCTGTGGACACAACACAGACTTGACCCTATTTACTTTATAGTCACAATTACTGGGTCAGCTAATAAACTTTGACATGCAGCTCTGGCAAAATCACTGCATGGAAATATCCCACCTGCTGCTAGCTGGCAGCGGCAGGGATTATAGGTGAAACAGAACATCGTGTTTCATCCCTTCAAGCAGGTCTTTCATCAGACTCAAACCGAGCGCGGAGAGTATAAATCCAGCCTGGATAATCCCAGCCATTCCACATGTATGTGAGAAAATGTGGGAGATCTCATATGTTTCAGTGGAAACTACAGTCAGTGTATGTGCTGCCTGTGTACTGTAACCTCAGATCTTCTTTAATAGGAAGATCCACAGTGAGTGCGGATATTATGCTCAGTCATGTTTTCTGAGCTGTCTACAAACTCCTGACTGTTTATATAAGCATAAGGAAAGGAAAACAATAGGATGCTTCCAATTTTAAATGGCAAGAGTAGCAGATCTCAAAGGGTCTCAGCTTTCTTTGTGGTTACAAATTGGATTCATACTGAATACATTTTCTTATAATTTTTCCACTGCTAGACGGAGGCCCCCAAACAGAGCACTGCGGTTTTATTAAACACGGGAATGCTGCTCCAATGTCTAATGAACACGAGAACATGCACTGAGTCAAAGTGGGTTTGTGCTAATGTACTTTTACTGTCAGTTAGACAAGCGCACAACACCATGCCCAATCTATTAGGGATCTGCTCTGGAAGTGTCCACCATAACTGGAGCCATATCAGGATGTATGTACTGAAATGTGGGGTCCCAGAGCATATGAGCATGTGACCCCAGGGTTTCCTCCCATGGAAAAGGATACAAAAACACAAGGTAAACAGTTCTGTATCTGAACTATGTGTTTTTATTAGTTCATTTTTTTATGAACTGACTTAATAAGAAGAGTTGAATAACTGTTAAAAAGTTACCAGACACTGACAGCTAAAAGCATTCTTGGGGGTTCTAATATCAACCATAAAATATCACTTCATTAAACTTTAATGCATTCTTTTTTTGTCTTTTTTTTGTATACAGGACACACACATACACACACACACACACACACACACACAGAGAGAACAACACATTCATATTTTTATGTGCCTTTATTTCAAGGCACATAAACCACAG